ATATATATATATATATACAAGATAAGCTATACACTACACACAAATATTTTAAAATAAAAACAATTAATTGTACAATTAAAATACAATTAAAAATTTTATTTAATAAAGTACAATTTAAAATATAATTTGTTGGTCAATTTAATAAATAATATTAACATTTCTCGTTAACTCCCTTCTAGCAACAAACTACGTCTCAGTGAAAATCTAAAGAATATAGAAGTAAGTGTGTTTTGGATGCTTTCCTCTCATTAGACTTAAAAAAAAGTTCACGAAAAGCTCAAAATATCAAAACTGAAGTGCATAAAAATGGTTTATTTGTCTATTTGTTGTATTTTTAATGGTAGATTTCTGTCAACGACAGCTTACAGTTTTTTCACGGTAAATTTAATAATTATTGCTAGCGCAAACTTGATAACATTTCTACTGTTTGTATTTTTTATAGTAAATTTCTGGCAACCACAGCTGCCAGTGTTTTACCGTAAATTTACACCATTTTCTTTGCAGTACACAGTGTCTCAACCTTCATTTTGGTTCTTCATAGTAACAAAAAACTACCCAATACCAATGAGAGTGCAATACTTTCAGGAGGCCTGTGGTACCTGTGTGTTCCCGGCGCTGATGTTCCTCGTCCTCGTGTGGTGGTTTTGCCTCTCGCCGCTGGGACTTTGGCGTCCTCTGAACCGCCATTCAAGTACGTCAACTCCTGTAGCTGAGCCTGCCTGATCTCATCATTGTAGTCCTATAACACACGCACACACACAAACATACGGCGGCTACTTAATGAGCTGTAACGTGTAATAAACATCATTGTGTGTCAGCAGTGTGTGAATATAACCAGCTTCTAATGGTGAAAAAATAAATAATTAAATAATACATTTTATAATTAATAAATTTAAATTTTTATAATCACACTTGATAAAAAACATCTGCAGAATCACTTTGATTAACAATCTTTCTTTGTACATGTCTTCAGAGAGAGAAAGCCCTACATGTTAGTGATGATCTCTCCCTCATTAGCCTAGACAACCCTGAGTAAGAAGCAGCCATTTTGAATCTGCTGCTATGCCAATGCATAGGCTTTTTTAGCTCCGCCCTTTTTTTCAAAATAGGGTTCAGAGCACAATCTCTTTTGAATTTAAAATGACAGTCACCAAAATAGCGCAATTTAAAAAGATCCCCTTTAAAATAGCACTTTTTGGTCTGAAGGTAATAAACACCATAACAAGGTAACAGATGCTGATGCTCGGCTTGCGTTCTGCATACTGTAATAACACACTGACACTGTAATAACAGCACAGACGTACCGGAATGAGGAACTTTTTGATCTCCTCCAAAGCGTGGCCCATTCTAGCGTACGCTTCCGCCGGAGGAGCAAACACCTCAATAAGCACATGGAGATCTTCATTCAGGTGATGATACTTTGTCTCTCCGCTCTTTCGCAGCTCTTCTTCCTATTAACGTAAATGAAAAACAAAAGAAACATTTAGGCATTAGCACAATGATGCTGGAAATTCTGCTTTGCTTCACAGGAATGAATTGCATTCATTGAAATAAATCATAAATTAAATCATAAATATACATACAAACATATTTATTTATTTATTGATGATTTTATAATATATTATTATAAAATTATAAATTAAAATAAATCTATATATTTTTACACAATATTAAAAACAATAACCAAAACCACAATAATAAAAATATTAAAAAATGATAATAACAACAACAATAATAATGATAATGATAATAATAATAATAATAATAATAATAATAATAATAATAACAATAATAATAATAATATTAATAATAATAATAGTAAAAATTATAATTATAAAACATTTTAATTATAATAACAAAAACAATAACAGCAACTATTATTATTATTATTATTATTATTATTATTATTATTATTATTATTATTATTATTATTATTATTATTATTATTGTTATTA